AATCACATAAGACCATATTATAACATCGACTGAGATAAATAATAAAATAAAATATTAAAATCAAGATGTATATCGCTGTATTGCGCGAGTACCCTTCTAGTAGATATTAAATTCATTAAAAATAATAAAATAATCATTTTTTAATATAGCTTGTTTAATTAAAAAAAAATTATATTTAAGATAATTTATATTTTTCAGAAATGAGATAAATTGTAGATTTTCAACACTCGAATATTTCATACGGAGATAATAATATAAGTTTCCAATTTCCAAAAATCTTTCAAACTTCCATCATTATAGTTCAAAAAAGTATTAGAGACTGTTGGACAGTTGCTAAATGGTTTGGTGCAAAATGATTAAGAACATCTCAAGATATAGTGCAAAATGAAATATAATTGTTTGATAATTATTTATGATGAAATTAGGGCACCGAATGGTTAAGAGAGGCTCATGATACAAAATCATTCAGATGGTTTTAGAATCATTAAGCGACAAACTTTTTTTTTATCAAACAAGATTCATCTCTTAACGAGTTAGAGACTGTCTCTTAATGAAACTATTAAGAGGTAAATAAACAACCCCTTAAAATTGGAATGATAAAAATATCAGATCCGCCACTGTCACCATTTGCCACCACTCTACTTGTCTATCACCCACTGACACCATTGCCATCCTTACCACAACCATTACCCATCTCTACCAACCACGACAACCCACCAGCCACCTCCACCCATCCATCAGGCCACCGACACCAACAACCACTAATTGTTACCACCATCACCCCACCACACCAGTCGTTGCCACCACCACCTACCATTGAATGACGATGACAAGGAAAATGACGGCCACCACTATTTGGTGTATCATTTTGTAACTTGTACTATATTTAGCGTGAACGTTTCAAATTTATAAATCGGTTCTTCAAGTATGAGATGCATGCATTTTTACTCTAGTTTGTTGTATAATGACATTTTAATTTTAACCAACGAAAATAGTATAACACTTAAGAGGTGTTTGGTTTGAGGTATTAGACACTAATAAATGAGAATGAAGATAAAAGAAACTGTTTATTTTTATATAATATAATAAGCTCAATTTCTCAAAAGCCCAAATTTTGATTCTAGGCCAAACCGGTGGAAATGGAAATTAATTCTTATTTTCATTCCCTGTCATTTTCATTTTCATTTCTGTGACTGAACCAAACACCCTCTTAATATATCAAGTTATTGTAGAAAAACAAAAATTGGCTATACTTTGTAAAGTTAAAGATATGAAGGTATTGTTATAAAACTAATCAGATTTTTCGTCCTTATGGATTAGAAATTGTGCTTTTCATCCCTATAGTTTGCAATTTATTGTTATTTTCGTCTGAAGACTGATTCACACTTTTAAGTACAAAGAACCAAAATAGTAACAAATTGTAAACCATAGAGACGAAACAATAATAAATTATAAATCATAAGAATGAAAATAACAATAAATTATAAACCATAGAAACGAAAACTGCAATTTCTAAACACGAGGATGAAAATCATAATTTATAACAAACCATAGGGACAAAAAATGTAATTTTGCGTAATGAATTTGAAGAAGATTTTGTATTTACACTATTTTTATATCAAAATAGATGGTCTAATTGTCTCACATGAATTCACATATCGATTTCCTTTTCTTGTAACAAGATTACATGAACATGTGAAATACCGAATATGCCCCTAGGCATGAATTCATAAGTTCTTGAATAAATGAATATGAAAAGCTGATCAATGTACAAAATGGTTTTGTATTTACAGCATCATCTAGCTTAAGATTACTCTTATACCCCTGATGACCTATCGAAAGTTTCGATTTATGTTCGAATTCTAACGCTAACGAACATATATACACGTAAAACAAATAATCTTTAAAAGTTTTCTTGCAAGAATCTACATAGAACCAGAAACGAATCGGAGTACTTGAGATCCCACGAATCACTTTTAGATATCCGTTCTTCATGGGCTTTGTGATCCACCCCAAGCCCACCAGTGGCTCTACCTAGTTTGGCCGGAGTTCCTGAGGTCATGATGTTGTAAAACCGTTCTAGATGTAAAAGCAGCTTCAAGATAGCTCCCAGTTTGATCATCTTCAACGTCCATGGCCCCTATCTCGATGCTCGTGCACCATCCTAATGATGATGAATCTGATCATGAGACATATAGTACCAGTCAAGAATGTAAGGATAATGCTTATGATCAATATCAGCGAGCCACCTACAATCTTGAGCTTGTATGTTTGAAGTCCATTCTTGCATTTGATTAGGGATTATTTGGTCCCATAATTTCTTGAGGGTTGAAAGAAACTATTTCCGTGTAATATTTGGCTCCCACGATGGGTAGCTACTTTGAAAGCTCATAAATTTACGAGACAGCATAAACTCAACATTCAACAACCATTAAAACAAATACACATATATAAAGGATCAGGTTCAGGGGCAAAGCGTAAGAAAATGAAAAATTGAAGAACACCCTAGTAACTGTTCATCTGGATGGTATGCACATGTGCATACAAGTAATTGAAGTTATTTATGCACGTGTGCATGCTATACAAATGTGCATATTTATTTGTATGGACCTTCCATAATAAATGGTTACCTGGATATTTCTCAGAACAAGACAAAATAGTTGTTCAACATTTGGTGAGACAGAAACTGGACAACAACTTAATGAGCTTAATGGGACTCACAAATTATTCGGTAAGTTATGCATGACTGTTTGGTAGTGGCTTAATAATATAGATAGTGGCTCATTTAGTGAGCTTATAGGGGGAGCTTTATGCAGAAAACCAAGTTTTTCTGGACCTGCTCCTCCCAATTAAAATACAAGCTTTTTCCATCTATAAAAAACCATCTCAAACAAAAACTTTCTCAATCTATACAGATTAATTAATTCAAACATAGCTTTTTCCATATACGACTTAATGGAAAGTCAACCAAACATCCCCTCTCTTGTTATACTTTTCACAAGGTGGGGGTCTTCATGGAAAAAACCGCTCTACTCTTTGGGATAGAGGTCAAGTCTGCATACATCTTACCTTCCCTAGACCCCACCTCACCTCATGTGGGTTTATGTTCGGTTAAGCTGGTTTGATTTGTAGTTTTAACGCTTAGTTTCATCAAATGCAAAATCTTCGTACTTCAATATCCAAAATGAAAAGGTGCAGAGAAGAAAACATACCTGGAAAAGGGTTTTAAACTCCATTTGCACGAACTCGGTATTTTCTTTCCCACGCCATCTTTTAGGCATATAATGGGTATGTTGGACAACAAGAGACATGGTCCCATGTAGGTCAAGCACCAAAAGTTCTTAATAATATCATTCAGCATTCCAATCAAGTAATTTTCTTTCCTCATCATTCTCATAATAATATCATGAGCTGAAAGATCCTTGACTACGCATAATTGTTGCGACTCCGGAACTTGAACAACCCTCTCAAGAATGGATGATCACAACATAGCTTGTATCTTGTTGTCATTTACATTGAGGCTGCCAACAAAAAAGAAGATAAATATTGAAACTTGTTTATGGTGCGTTTGGTATATGGACATAATTGGACTGTAAGCAGGTGAAAGAATTGTGGAAGGTAAACTGAAATGAAAAAACTACAAAATCCAAACATAGAGGGGGTGTATTTGAACTTTAAAAAAGTTTGAGGGTGTAAATTTAACTTCTACTAGCTTCGAGGCAAATCTAGTTCCATTTCCAATATAGCCCCCGCTTTCCATTCCAGAAGGGATTTACAAACCTTACGCCCCAAGCATCTGAAATCCCCAAATTTATCAGATCTGCTTCGAGTATCCTCCGTCGACCACCGCCGCAGACATCGGAATCTCGTTTAGTGTGCTATCTCTTCATCGGATATTTTTTCTGGTTCGTTTTCTTCTTAAATTACACATAGATGCATTAATTGTCACTTGTAACCTATCTGTTTATCAGTCATCGCTTATCTTACTCTTCGATTTCATAATAAGTTGCCCCGGACCTGAAGGATGTGTTTTGTAAGATGTATATCACGGATATCGGTGTACTTTGCACACTTTCAGTTTTTTTTGTATGTTGTGAAATTGTATCAATGCGTTTAAATTGAATGTTGAAAACATATAATCTATAAGAATGGCGATCTGTATGCAGTTTTTTACTCGTTCCAAAAAATTAGGGATGGATTTGGACTTGTGTTGTCAAACATGTTTCAGAGTTCAAAATTCGTATGGTTTTGTAGTTAGTTGTTTGTGATTGCGAACTTGGTTATTGGTAGTACAGTACTTTCTATTCAATCAAAAATAGTACCCAATGGGTTTTTCCACGCGCTCAATTTAAGTACGCTGGCGTACAACCAGTTTTGGATTCTAAAATCACCTAGCTTGAACACAAAAGTCAAGACTTGTCATTGATCTTGGAATGGAGGAGTTGAAGTATTATTAATGAGATTTTATGGCACTTCCTAGCTAAAAGTTTAGAGAAAGGTTATGCAAGCCTCAGTGACGAAGCTGCTTAACTAGACAAAGTTGATCAATACAAGCATATTGTATCGTTGTTCAGTTCATGTTTCATCCTGCTTTGGAAATATAACTGTTGTTTAACAGTAATTACAAGGTGATTTTATGACCATCTAAAGTTTCCTGTAACCCTGTCTCCTAGTCCCTGTGACCCTGTGGTCTGATGCAACCATACTTATAATGGGTGGATCTGTAGCATTTCCACAATGTTAAACTGGACCATTGAGGCTTCCAAGGTTAGACCACACCCATKTCAAACACTCAAATGGCAGAAAATGTTATGATACACACACTCCATTTATCATATCTCCATAATAGATCACACCTTCTGTACAATCATACTTTGGAAAATTTTAAATAATTGGTCTTAGGATGAGGTGGGAAAATATTTCTCACAAAATGCATTTGTTTGGAAGAGTGCATAGCAACAAGTGAGATTTTTTGATGGAYGAAGTACTTGAGTGGATCTTGTGGTAGAGGCAATATCTGTCTTRGCCAAGAATGGTKGTATGAACCCAGTGTTCAAGAAATATGTGTGTATTAAATATTAATGAAACCAAGCTTCTGGAGAAAGAAAGATGTCATTATGATTCTTTTTGCACTTMTAAATGTATAATGTCAAATTTTGAACTTTGAACTAAATTTGCATAACATCATTCTACTTAGCCTCTATATATTCACTCAACTGTATTTTTTGACAGATCTGTATGTTAGTCTTGTTTTTCTTTWGCCTTCCTAGAATCGGCTGTACTCCTGTATCCTTGCAAAGTAGCAGTGTCCCAACATTTCCTCTTTTTTTTTTTTCAGGTCCCCGAGTATGTATGACAATCTTGGAAACCCATCTGGGGCGCCAAGACCATCTTCCACTCCACAAACTCCTTTTGGAAATCCTWTTTATGGTACCGGCTCAGGTSTAATCAGAGGTGGACTTKGTGCCTATGGAGAAAAAATCTTAGGTTCAAGCTCTGAGTACGTGCAAAGTAATGTAAGTAACATCACAAAAGGCGGTTTCCATGATTTAATTATTTTTTGTTCATACATCATTGCTCCAAGATTTAAGCTAGTTCATCTATTTGTGTGAATTAAGGGGGAAAAATGCACACAGTGGCTTCCAAAACAATGGGAAGGACATGCTTTGAGCAATGGTACCTAGTGTAGTACTTTTATACAGTTGCAGTGAGGATAATATARGAACATGATGTAAAAATTTCTGCTACATATTGATACTCAACGTGTATTTGGATAATCCTAAATGGAAACTTCGATGCAAATTAAAAGAATGAGAGAGTAAACAAGATCACGTTTGGCTATTAATCATTCTCTGTGATTCTTGCTGTAACATTGAACCCAAACAAAACAAACCCTGTATATACCATTTGAAAGCATGGTCCAGAGGGATGGGATACTCAGACCTGACCTCTACCCCATAGGGTAGAGTGGCGCATGCAAAAGTGTGAGTGAAAAGGAAAAGAGAAGGGCAAGATTGGATTTTTAATATTGCTTGTACAAAATTTAAAGCAATCTTGACATAGCATGCTGGTGTTCCCTGTCTTTTTTCAATCTTTGGGATTTAACAACATTTTGATAGCACACTATGGTCACTAACATGCCTCTGGGGAGTTCTTACTGCCATGGTTTCTTTGTGCTACATGATGCAGTGTTTGTTTTGGAGATTGTGCTATAGATGTTTATCTTGTGTCCTAACATAATTGTTCCGCTGTTTGCCTAAAAGCACAATCTTCGTGGGGTAGTAAAGGGCAGCAGTTGGTGAGAAATCTATCCACATAGAGGAAGCCTGAAGTCATGGGCAGTTAGCATGGTTTGCCAGAATGATAAATAAAGTACCCTACGACTTGATTGAAGACCTCCAGCTACCAACCACACAAAACTGCTGTGAGGCTGTGGGTGTCAACTTTTACTGCTCCAACATCCCAAATTAATGACCCTTTTCTCTTTTGTTTTGTCTCCAAATTAAATGAGAGCCTTTTGGGTTTCAACATTTTAAGTTCTTCGAACTTAAATAGAAAATAAATCACAATTCTACTTATTTTTTCTTAATAGAATTCTTTCCATTAACAGTTGTAGACTTGTAGTTAATCAAGCCAGTGTCATGTAATGTGTTTTCCATCTTTGGCACATAGTAACGCAGTATTTTCAATAAAATCTATCAAGCATAATATATTTAGATATTTAGCTTCTGATCATCAAAATTGTACCATTTGATTCTATTCTATTCATGAATCAAATAATGTCAATCTTATTTGTGAAATAAGATGTAGAGTTCATTGATCACATATCTGTTTGCAGCGACATGAACAAAATGTTTCTGTTGCTATTTGGTAAAAGTGTACTGAACAAGAACGGACAACATTCTTGTGTATATATAGTCATATACATACACACATATGCTTACATTTTGTATTTTATATTCAAGCTTATCATACAAACAATCTTAGAAAAAAAGTTGAAGCAGATCAAAGCAACTCAAGTTCATGAAATTAATAGGGTGGCTCCCAATTCTTTTCACAAACTGACAACTATGGTTTAATGGAACATAACGGTACTTTATTTGGAACACCAACTTGATTGAACAGATGCAGCCTAACCCTTATATGAAGGAAACAATTTATATTCAAGGCTTTAGGCTAGGCAAAAACCCGTCTCTTTTTAAATTTTAATGTTTTCGGAAATTTTATGGCTGCATAATCAATCACACACTGTGATTTGTGATTTTAAAGATTGATGTTTAGTTATTTACAGTCTTCTTTGTTCACAGATTAGCAGGTACTTCTCTGATCCACAATATTATTTCCAAGTCAATGACCACTATGTGAGGAACAAATTGAAGGTGGTTCTATTCCCATTTCTGCACAGGGTAAGTGCTAGCTTATCGTCATCCTACTTGGCCTTCATTTTTGATATTTCTTTGCTTAACTATATGTGTTATTTTGTAATCTTCAGGGTCATTGGACAAGAATTACTGAGCCAGTTGGGGGTAGGCTATCATATAAGCCCCCCATTTATGATATCAACGCTCCAGATCTATATATCCCGTTAATGGCTTTTGGTACATATGTTGTTCTTGCTGGCTTCTCTTTGGGACTTCAAGGGAAGTAAGTATCACCTTCACCATGCTTATAACATTTCTTTTCAATTACATTGAGGCTATGGGAAATCTTAAGTTATGAAATTGCAAGCGTGAAACCTTAGGTTATGAAATCGTCAAGTGATTTGTTCATCATGTGTCAAGCTAATACTCCCTCCATCCCAATAAATGTCCACATTTCTATTTCAGTTTGTTCTAAAATAAATGTCCATTTTGAAATTATAAGTGCATACTTTCCCATAGCCTCGACTCGTAACTTATTTAGAACCATGGCAATACTTAGAGGCTATTTGGTTGGTTTTTCATTAAGTCTTATATGGATAAAGCTGTCTTTATGGATTGATCTGTCTAATATAGATTGGGAAAGTTTGTGTTTGGAAGGGTTTTTCATAGATGGAAAGAGCGTGTTTTTTAATTGGGAGGGATAGGTTCGGAAAAAACTTGTCTTCTGCATATAGTTCCCCCCTAAAAGCTTAAAAAATAAGCCACTTTCTATATCATTAAGCCACTATCAAACGGTCATTTATAGCTGACCAAATAAACTGTAAGTTCCATTAAGCTGATTAAGTTGCTAACAAACAGACCTTTATTGTATAACGAGTTATTTTTAAGATTTTTATCTAAATACTTTTTAAATTATATATCATTATTATTATCTTAAATCATTAACAATAATTAAATTGCAGGTTTACCCCAGAAGCTCTGAACTGGCTTTTCATGAAGGGAATGGTGGGTTGGTTTTTACAAGTTTCTCTTCTAAAGATGTCATTATTTTCATTGGGCGGTGCCGAGGCACCACTGCTAGATATTGTAGCATACGCGGGATACGCCTTCACCGGATTGTGTCTAGCGGTCCTTGGTAAAATCATCTTCTCCTACTCTTACTACTTCTTGATGCCATGGACTTGTTTGTGTATGKGAACCTTCTTGGTGAAAACGATGAAACGGGTCCTTTTTTCGGAGGTTAGAAGTTTCGATTCCAGTAGGCATCATTACTTGCTGCTCTTCATTGCGTTAGCCCAGTTTCCGCTCTTCATTTGGCTCGGAAACATCACGGTCAATTGGCTTTTCTAGAAAGTGTGTAGAAAACTGTATCTATCCTTTTGAGGCTAGTTTTTTTGATGTAATACAAACTTTTGTGATATTTGGTTGCTTTTTGTTGTGCAAATTGGACACTTTGTATGTAAAAGGGACTTTTCTTTGAATAGTATTAGCATATGTAGTGTTTGCCTTTCCATGTGTTTAGGTATTTTTCTCTTCAAGATTTATGTTTTCTAGATTTTAATTTGCGCGAGATTTACTGGGGTGGCTTGATTTTTGTCTTGTAACTTTTAGATTAGGGCTTGGTATGTGGAGAGAATGAGATTGAATTGGACAACATCTGGTGTTTGGTACCACTATGATAAGACTGGACAAGTTTGAGAGCGATGGTGTTTGAAGATGCACAAGGCACGGGCGTTTCAGGCTTGAGCCCGAGTCTTTAAACCTCGGTTTTAGTGAGCGAAACGGGCGTGGGCTTTAAGGTTAAAATGGGTTTGATCAGGCGTTTTTGAGTTGGGATGGACCCCAAAATTTTGGGACTTTTGAGTCCTGGACTAAAGGCCGGCTTGAGTTTAGGGCTTTTTGTGTATCTCTAACGGTGGTGGTGGTGATATGACCATTAAACTAAATGATGTTTTAAGTCTATCAAATGGATGTAAAACAACAATCTTTTAGTTTTATTTCATTCTTATGATTTTTGTTCCACCTCTTCTAATAAAACAAAATAATCTTTATTTACCCCAATCAATACCACTTTATTCTACTCCTATGTCGCGTCAAACATGAAACAATGAGTTTTTATTTTGTCATATTTAGTTCAATCTTGTATACCAAACGCTTTCAACATTAATTTAGCGGTGTTTGCCTGTTTGGTTTGATTTTCATTAAGTCTTGTATGAATAAAACTGACTGTATGGATCAATCTTTCTATATAGATTAGAAAGATTTTTGTTTGTGAGAGTTTATTTATAAATAGAATAAATGTGTTTTTTAATTAGGAGGAACAAATTTGAAAATGAAAACTTGATTTTCTGTATAAGTTCCGCTTAAAAACTTACTTATACATCATTAAGCTATTATAAAACAATTATATATATATATATATATATATACTATAAGGGTACTCGCGCAATGTAGCGAGATACATCTTCATTTTAGTATTTCGTTTTATTTTTTGTCTTTGTTAATATAATACGGTTTATGTGATTTAGAGAAATATATTGTTTTTATTTTTGAATAAAAATAAATTTGAAGATATCATAAAATTTTGAAAAAATATATGGATATTAATATAAAATTAACTATTTAAAAGTTCTTTTTTTTATATAATTTCTTTAATTCAAATTTTTTATTATAATTTAATTTAAATCTCACAACGAAGTAATTTATTTTCACTTAATAATATAATTTTTATAAAGATAATAATTATGTTAGAATTCAATTATTATCCTAATTATATTTAAGATTTTTTTATTTAAAATGAGATGTTTATCTTATAATTGATTATGTTTATAATGTATTTGATTACGTTTATCTGCAGTTAGTTATACGAATTAAAAAATAAAGCTTTAATAAGTTGTATCTATGCATAATTTACTTTTAATTAAAAAATTTAAGTAATATGCATTGATAAACAATATTTTGATTAATATGATTTAATAAGTTGTATATAACTGAATAAGTTACAAAGTCTCGTTAAACTTATTAAGCTGTTAAATAAGGGTGTAATTTTGATTAATATGGTTTAGTTAGAAAGCAAAAAGGGCAAATTGCATGAAAAAGTAACATATTTTAACTTGATTCCTATTTTGGGTAATGTACTTTCAAAACTTCTATTTTGGTACCTAAGATGTAAAATTTTAAACATTTAAGTACCCGGATAAACGGTTGAAGCATTAACCAGTTATCATATTGATGTGCCGATTGATGTGGTATCCAACTCAATATTATTTGCTAACATGGTTAGTGGCATGATTTTTTTTTAAATATAAAATTACTCTTTTTTTAATCTAAAATTAGTCTTTAATTGGTTATTCGGGTACTTAAATATTTAAAACTTTACATCTTAAATACCAAAATTAAAGTTTTAAAAGTACGTTACCCAAAATAGTAATTAAATTAAAATACATTAATTTTTGATGTAATTTGCCCAAAGCAAAACGAAGATAAGATTATTGCATTGGATACCTTGAGAGAGAGATTTTGGATTGTTGTGGGATGAATATGATGAGTGAGTTGACAAATTTGATGCTTTTCTTTTAACTATTATTTTAATATATACTTTTACCAATATTATACAAAAAGCCATTTATATATTTTACTAATTGATGTCATCAATTCAATACTCTCAAATCTTTTCTTTTATATCATATATATATATATATATATATATATATATATATAAAAGTTCAGGTTCAGTGGAAAATCAAAATAAAAAAATAAAAAATTGAAAAATATCGTCAAGACTGTATGCATATGTATGTACAAGTAATTGGTAAACAGTTTATCCAGAATGTACATGTACATAGCATGCATACATGTATAAAACCAAGAAACAACTTCAATTACTTGTATGTATATGTGCATACAGTCCAAATGAATGATTATCAAGGTATTTCTCAATTTTTTTTATTTTTTGAGGTTTTTCTCTAAACCTCGGTGTGTGTATATATATATATATATATATATATTAATTATTAAAAAAAATAATACTAATTTAATGTTGAAAAGAAATTAAAAGGTTGGTGGCCAACTGGCCACTAAACTAAGAGTAGTGGATTTCATAAAAGTTAAAAAGGAAAATATTGTAAAAATAATATTAAAAAAGAAAAAGAAATTATGACATTTTAAATCTTTTTTAGTGATAAAGATGGATTGGAGACTAAATAGTCACCCTTTCAGGATTACATGTCACTAAAAAGCTAAGCTACAAAATCTACTTTCTATCATTTTTAATTTGAATTAAATAAATTCTATAATTAATTATTACAATTCAATCCTTTTATTTTCATTTTTTTTAAATAAAATAAAATATTTTATTTTGATTGTTTTTTTTTGTTGACTTTTACCTTACAATTATTGAAAACTTTATTCTATTTTAATTATTAAAATTACTTTTTATGATTTTATCTATAATCTAAGAGGTCATTTACTAAGTACTTACCGGTTCAATTACCTTACCGAATGAGCATAACAAAGATTGAAAATCTTAATTGATAAAAGGGAAGACAAGGATCGAGAGTCTTACGCGGTAAGTGAGGGTGATGACTCTTACTCGGTAAGTGTTTACCGGGTTATAAACGCTTACCATCAATCCATTTTGATGGCAGGGAATCTTACCCCGTAAAGTAAATTAGAGTAGTGATTATTGCTGGTAAGCGTTTCGTAAACAACCCCTAAGTTGGCTTCTAAAGAATATTAACTTGGATATAAATATTTAGTTTATAGTCTTATATAAAGAGAGAATGTAAGTTATATAAAAGTTAAAAACTATAAAAATCATTTTCATTTTCATGTATTACTTCATAGATGATAATCAACTAAAAGTATCATATGGGTTTGAATTAAAACTAGTGCACTCTTTTTCATGTGTACGTGTTTTATGTTTGAAGATATTTTTTTTGTATTTTTTCACACACAAAACATTTCTTGTTGTTTCATTTATGAAACAACACTGCATGTTTTCATATGTTGTTTCATCTATGCAACAACATGTGCAAACTTATTTTCATGGAATCTAACTTCTAGACGATTTTCATATGATTTCTCTCTCTCTCTCTCTCTCTCTATATATATATATATATATATATATAGAGAGAGAGAGAGAGAGAGAGACTTGAGATCATGTGAGACCAAAGGTTTTTCGTGAGACCCGTAAGACCAATTCTCAATTGGATTAGATCTACAATCTAACAATCTGAACATTCATAAACATATATATATATATATATATATATTATAAGGTTGGATTCACGTGAGACCAAGGGTTTTTCGTGAGACCTGTGAGACCAATTTATATTCATTGATCAACTTTATAAGTTAATGATCCAATGGTCTAAAGTTGCACGGTGACAATTTTATAATTATTGAGAAGTCTCGTGGCGTTTATGAATGTTCAGATCTGACGATTGTAAATCTAATCCAAGGGTTGAGAATTGGTCTTACGGGTCTCACGAAAAACCATTGGTCTCATATGATCCCAAGTGTATATATATATATATATATATATTCTTGTCGTTTCATCTATGAAACGACGCTGCATGATTTCATATGTTGTTTTATCTATGTAACAACACATGGAAACTGATTTTCATGGAATCTAACTTCTAAACGGTTTTTATATGATTTCCCATATATCTATCTATATATATATAGAGAGAGAGAGAGAATATGATTAAAGTTTGGAATTATCATCATTTTGCTCCACTTTTTAAACCATGTTTGATTGTATTGGTAAATTTGTCGCGACTTCATGCATTTCCATTCCCTGAACAAAAAAGGGGAAACTCCATAATCTTAAACAATGATTAGAGATCATTTACAATCACATAAATCTTCATATTTGTTCTCTTTCAATTTTAAAACTGTATTATTTACCTGATTCTCTATTGTTGGTTTTTATATTATCTCTGTATGTACTAATTTTCTGTTTTCATTTACTTTTTACTGTTTAAGAAAATCCTGTCTCTCAACTATTACAACGACTGAAAGAATTACTATACAAACAAGAAGTCAAAAATTTTAGTTTTTTGTTTTGGTTGGAGAATAATCACAAGACCAAGTTATTTCACTTTCGTTGTAGTTTATATTTTGAGCAGAAGGTTGATGACTGACAATTTCGACCGGTCCCACACGTAACCTGCTTTTTAGGAACCACATGTGAGAAGATATTTCAGAGCTGACTCAGCGTATGAGGCTGTCGGAGGGGTTCAAGGTTTCAAACTTGGATCTTTTGTGTATCTGAACAAAGTCGATTCGTCCTTTTGTCAACTGAGTTATACGTCCCACGGTTGTTGTAGTTTATATTGATCTTAAAATATACGAAAACCTACCGGATTGATAGCTATGATGAACGATAATGAGAAGATATCAATGAGGGTTTGTGTTTTGTTGGTGTCACAACTTTTAGGTATAAAAATCATTGATTTGAGAAAAAGGGTAAGTAACAAAAATGAGGGGAAGATAAGAAGCAAATTTCACTTCACATATCATGGTGTTTGCCATATCAATTGGACTATATGTCTATAAAAAGGTGACTCATAAATCCCATAAATGATATGGACCAAAATGCAACATGGTTTTCACTTGGGCCAATTTAGCAACTTTATGAAAGTGTAGGGTGGTAGGGTATAAATCTTGACAGAGAAAACTTGGGCCAATTCAGCAACTTTTTGAAAGTGTAGGGTGTTGGGGTGTAAATCTTGACAACAGGGGAAAAAAGTGGCTCTCTTTTTATAAACAGAAGTTTGAAAGATGAAACCCACACAGAACCACCTTTTCTTTATCTGTTGAAAGCTTTTGATCATCTGGGTGTTCTTCTTTTCATTGAAAACAGAATCAAAATTTCATGAAAAGATTCGATTCTTCATGTTGTTTTCATCGATGTCGTTTGATATTAGCTGAATCTTGAGTGAAATCGAAAACACCCATCAAAGATTTCTTGGAAATTTGATTGCAATCATCACATTGAAATCAACAATTCAAGATTTCTTGAATCTTGATGGTGCACTTCTTGAATTTGGTCATAGTTTGTGTAAAGATTGATCTTCTGAGAGTTGATCTTGTTGATTTAATTGAAAACTGTTAAAAGGGTTTCTAATTAGGGTTAGGGTTTATAAGTGATTTTGGGGGAGAAGATGGGATTGGGTAGTCTTGTTCCTCCCACAGTCGGTCCACCGATAAAGCGGCGAGCGGGACTTCGGCGGAAACAGGCTGGTAGAGGTTCTTACAGGGGTAGTTAGGGTTTGCAGAAAGGTTAAAAAGGTCATTTTAGTTTGTGTTTTGGGGGGGGGGGGTTCATAGTTCATTAAGCTAGTTGGGAAGAAGAAGATGGGTGGTGGTGAATTACACCAAGAACTCAAGAATCTGTGTGTTAACAGTGACTGGAAGTATGCCGTTTTCTGGCAGCTCAAGCATCAATCTCCAATGTAAGATGATCATCAAGAACTTTTTTTATGTTAAATCTTTGTTGAATATTGATTGGAATTGCATATGCTATTTGCTTAGATTTAGGGGTTGTTTGGTTGGATTAAGGACATGTTTGCTAGTGGCTTATGAGCTTAATGGGACTCAGCTTATTCGATCAGCTATACATGACTGTTTGGTAGTGGCTCAATGATATAGAAAGTGGCTTATTAGGTAAGGAGCTTTATGCATAGCGCCAAGTTTTTTTTTTCCAAAGTTGTCCTTCCCAATTAAAAAACATGCTCATTCCATAATGAAAGAACCCTCCCAAACAAAAATATTTCCAATATATACATACAGATTAATCCACACAAAGCTTAATGGAAAACTGGTTGATGGTTGTTTATGGATAAAGTTATATGTATGGATTAATTTGTCTGGATACTGATCGGGGAAGTTTTTGTTTTGGAGAGTTTTTTCATAGATGGAAGGAATGTGTATTCGGTGTTTTGTTACTCGTACGAAGTTAATCTTCAAAATTCTTACTCGTAAAATCCAATTCTTCATGAAATTCATCGAGCAATTGAACTTTTAAACCGTTGTAATCAATGTTTTGTTGCAAAAGAACCATTGAATTTGAATTGTTGTTCTATGTGTTATATTATCTATCTTATTGTGTGCTTGCATCACCTTTGTTTCGTGCACACGTCGGGGGTCTTACTGAAACAACCTCTCAACTCCAGTGGTTGACGTAAGGTCTGTATACATCTTACCCCTTCCAAACTCACCAAACCTTACTTTTGATATATTGGGTTCAAATTTTGTGAAATATCTAAAATACCCTTCAATCTTGCAATCCAAATGAGTATGAAAAACTTACCAAAACTAGAGATGTTTGCAGGGTGTTGAATTGGGAAGATGCTTATTGCGACGATAAAGAGAAAAACGATCGTTTGATGAGCAACTGGTTCGATAACATGGGCCACAATTCGAACCAAGATCTTGTTAGATTAGCGGTTGCAAGGATGTCTTATCGCACGTATTCTATTGGGGAAGGGTATGTTGGTTAAAAAACCCAATAACGTTTTATTCACATGTGCATGCATTAGATCGTTAATCATGTCCATAACATGCTTGTTTGTGTTCTTCGTCGTGTAGGGTCGTTGGACGGGTTGCGGGTACATGTAAACATCGATGGATATCTGGGCATCAACTCGTTAATAGATCTTGGTCCTCAGATGAGGTGAGAAATAGTTCGTATGTCGGTAAATATCATGTTATAACGTCATCTTTAAGTGTTACTTTATAGTGGTAGATACCGTTCGTTAGGGAGTTCATTGTGGACCGTAAGATGGAGTTCGTACATCGGAATTTATATCCTATTTCGTTAATTTTCAGCATTTTGAAGGATGGAAAACACAGTTTGCGGCGGGGATCAGGGTATGTCACCTCTCTTCGTCCCCGAATTAATCATGTCATGTACTTATCGAACTTGAAACAGCTAAAAGGGCGTCCCTAGCCACTACAAGGAAATCGGATTTATAATTATAGGACGTCAAATATGTTTAAATATTCTAATAAACTGCTTTATAATTGTGCTTCATATTTAAAGGTGTTACAATAAATTGATAGGACAGTTTTGGCATCCTAAAAGAACTTGTTAGGATGCCCAAATAAGTCGTATCAACCAATGGCAACACTTTTACATATGACTGTAGAATTCTTTGGTCCTATAAACTTAAATCCTAGAGTAAACTACAAACTTGGTCCCTGTGGTTTGTCAAAAAAACACTTTCAGTCCATGCAGTCTTGAAATTACAAGATGGCCATCGTGATTTGCAAAAACGTCCGAGTTTGGTGTCTCCCTAAAGAACATTAAATTTTTTTGTTAAATGAGGGATGTTTTTGTCATTTTATCAATTTTTTGTCTTTTACTCGATCAAAATTGATTTTATAATATTGGTCCCTATAACTTGATTAGGTGAAAGATAGATAAATTGACAAAAATGTCCCTCATTTAACGGAACTTTTTTACGACTGTTAGAGGGAGGGACCAAATCTGGACCTTTTTGCAAACCACGATGGCCATCTTGTAATTTTGAAACTGCTTGGATTGAAAGTATTATTTTCGATAAACCACAAGGACCAAACTTGTAGTTTAATCTAAATCCTATACATTTAGACATATTTGGTGTACTATAAAAGCGATTTTATTGTAGCGAGTGCACCAAGGCTTTGTTCCGCAACTTAAATCTGTGACATTCCGGTGGAAATGAAATGATCGGTGTTTTGGTATCGTTATGCTATGCAGACCGTTGTCGTTATCGCTGTTGTTCCACATGGAGTTCTGCAACTCGGCTCGTTAAATACCGTAAGCAAGTTCTTACTTTCACTATACCTCGGCTATTTGCCGATAAAATGCTTGCATTCTGGGCAAGTTCAAGTTTTTATGGTGTTATCGTTTCTTTAAACAGATTGCTGAGGATTTGAAGACGGTGAACCATATCAGAGAGATCTTTCTCGAGCTAAAAAGTTCTTTCGTGGGGTCTGCGGACTGCTCTCCATGCATCGTACGTCTAGAATCTTACCATTGAAATACAATTACGTCTAAAAAGTTCATCCATGGACGTTCTAACAAGTTTTTTAGGACATTTTTGAAATAAAACGTCATATTAGTCTCTTCATGGGCCTGTTTGTTAGCGGTCATTAATTAGCAGCTTAATGAGCTTAATAGGACTCGCAACTTATTTGGTCAACTATATGTGACTATTTGGTAGTGGCTTAATGATATAGAAAGTGACTTATTCAGTAAGATTTTAGAGGGAGCTTTATAAAGAAAGCCAAGTTTTTTTCTAAAACCCAATTAAAAAGCACACTCCTTGATCTATGAAAAAACTCCGGGATCTATACAGACAAACTAATTAACATACAGACAACTTTATCCATACATGACTTAATGAAAAACCAACCAAACATCCCCACATATGACACTAAAAGCTAATATGACACTTTATTTCAAAGGTGTCTTAAAATCTTGTTAAGACACCCAAAAGCTTCCTATCAACTTATTGCAACAGCTTAGGCACAAAAGTTTGGTCCTATAAAAAGTCAAGTCCTATAAAACAGTCTGTTAGGACATATAGACATATCTGACGTCCTATAAAGATAGATGATGTTGTCTAAAATCTTAGCATGTAATCGTTTTTCCAGACGGATTTGTCCACGAGTTCAGTATCGGGGAGATTTCACAAGCCTGTAAACAATCAAGATAGAACGATGGAGAATAACAGATCAAAAAATACGTGGTCAACAGTTGAAACGATCAACAATCATCAAGAAAGAAAAAACCCGTTATCAGATTTCATCCAATCCGCACCTACCAATGATGAAAATCGGAACTTGTTCATGCCCACAACATCAGATGGCCAAATCGAAACTAAAGAGTCTTTCAAGTTCCCTGCTGGGTGCGAGTTGTACGAAGCGCTAGGACCAGCGTTCTATAAGCAGAAGAATAGTTTCGATTGGGAGACAATGACAACCGAGACCATAACGGTTGACGAGATTCTTGGAGGAACGAGCAATAGTGATCTCTTAACACAAAGATCTGGCTCTGAACATCTTTTGGAAGCAGTTGTGGCTAAAGTTTGTTGCAGCGATAGCGACAATAAAGGGTCAACGTCATTTGGTGAATCAGTCAAGCCCCTCCAACGGCTGCAGCCTCCTAGCGATTTGCTAACCAGTGGTTCGGTTTGTTACTCATTTGAGCGTTTCTCATCGGCAAGTGTTAGTAGATGTAGTGATCAGTTAGATCAGAGGTCCCAAGAACCGGCTAAGGTTGGGAAAAAACGAGCTAGACCTGGTGAAAGTTGTAGACCGAGGCCGAGAGATAGGCAACTGATTCAAGATCGTATTAAGGAACTCCGACAGCTTGTTCCCAGTGGATCAAAGGTAAACGCTCGTTTTCCTGTTTCTGGTCATTCTTTAACAATTTGAGTTTTGTTGAAAGGAGTTGTTTATGTCACAGTGCAGTATCGATTCACTTCTGGAACGAACAATCAAACACATGGTTTTCATGCAATGTATCACCAAGCATGCCGATAAAATTGATAAATGTACCGAGTTTAAGGTACGGCTTCGCTTACCTTCTTGCCTGTCACTTGCACCGTCCTCTCAAAACCTTGTTTTAGAAGGAAAGGGGCGGAAAACAAAAAAACCATCCGAAAGGAGTCTCGTGATTTTTTTTTGATGACAAAAGTACCCTCATACAACAATAAGGAAAAGTAATGAAAAGAACAAATATAAAGGGTATATTTGTAAAAATGATATCTTTCTTTCCGGTTTAAGAACATGAAAAGTTTCCTTTCCAATAATTCTCTTCCCCTTAAAGAACAAATAAAGAACTTCGTTTCCATTCCTTTCTTCCCAAATTTCGAGAACAAAGTGTTAAAGTTCGTTTTTTGAACCCACAACAGTTGAAGAAACGTAATTGAACCCAAGTAATGGTTCGATTACTATTTGTTGTGCAGTTGGTCAGCAAGGAAAGAGGTGTATACGGTCAGGATCAGGGTTCGAGCTGGGCAATGGAAGTAGGGAATGAGCTAGAAGTATGTCCAATAATCGTAGAAAATATGGGGGTCGATGGGCAAATGCTGGTGGAGGTACAGTCATTACTTATAACTCGAAGAAACCCTAAAATATTTTCATCTTTTGCCAACATTTTAGTTCGTGCATGCTTACAGATGATGTGCGACGAAGGTGTTCATTTCCTGGAGATAAGTGAAGCGATCAGGACGTTGGGTCTGACCATTTTGAAAGGAGTAACAGACGCATATGGCGATAAAACCTGGATGTGTTTCATCGTCGAGGTATGCCCCCACGCCCGCCCTATTTGTGTTGATTTATGAAGTGATTTGAGATGGGTTCAAACTGGTTTTTGGTTAGAAATGTGAAATGTGGTTTGTTGGTACACAGGGGGAGAATAACAGAAGCATTCATAGGATGGATATATTGTGGCCACTTGTTCAGATATTGCAATCAAAGATGAAGGCTTGAGTTAGGAGTTTCTGGTTTTGACTCTGAATGGTTTTTCTGTTAATGGAAATGAGTGATGATTGATTGTTATGTTTGTTGTGATATTTGGGGTGTGAATTTGTATCATGATTTTTGTGTGTTTTATGAATATAAAGTTTTATAGATGATGGTTAAACCACAAACAAAGAATTGTGTATGGCTGACTAAATAAGCTTTCCTGTTTGAAACCCTCAAACCCCTATACCATAAGGTCTGAGTAAATGCTGACCTCATGAAATAAGTTTTACATTATAACTACTTTCTAATTTTTTTATCACAAAAATAGTTATAAAAAAACCACAAGTTAATGCTGCAATACACTTTTGCTTGCAGTGCTGCTGCAAGTTGCGGCTTTCTCCTACTGTTTCAGGTCAATGCATGTCCTTGTGATGACACAAAGCTGCAGTGTCTCGATTTATTTTTCTGGTGGGCACTTTTCATCTGAGTGCGTTAGAAAATGTCAGAAACTGTCATGTGGCATTGAACTTGAGGTTTCTTGCCTATTTGTGGGAAGAAGTTTGGAGGTATCTAAAAAGTAAAACTTTTTTCACATGTTGTGTTCCCCTTAAAAAAACTATTGGATGGTCTATGACCGGATTCGGTGCTATTCATGCACCCTATTCCTGATTTAGTGATGGCAAACCGTACTCACAAAGATGAGTAAATTGAGATGGCACGGTTTGTGCGACTCTTCCTTTTTTGCACAACAGATAAGAGCGAAAAACGGTTGCTTCATATCAGACTCAGTCAATTTGGCATTCTGAAGATCAAGGAGTGCTGCCCCTAGACTCTATACTTCAGGTTCAAGGGTTAGCTTATAGAAGTGTGTTTTCCGTACCTCTTAACCCATGTTGCTTAACCAAACCCCCCCCCCCCCCCCCCCCCCCCCGGATCTCATGTAAATCACAATTACAATAAATGGCTGATAACAATTAAACCACCAACAGTATAACAGCCTCGGGTTAGATGAAAAACGGAAAGAGAGCACTAGTAGCACAATCAAATGACTTCTTAGCAGTAGAAATGGATCAACAAATAGCACCAAATAAGCAAGTAACCAAATTCCCAAAAAAAACAAGGATTCTCACTATTGCATTCAAAGAAAGCAACTAGCAATATATTGAAGTACAAGTGTTACAAGAAAAAATAAAGGGAAAACAAAGCATAGTTCTTGTTATTGGTAGCAAAAAACTTCAAATAAGAAGATAGGTAAAGCTCTTTCTGAAAGTTACCATCATAAAGCTCTTTCTGTATCATTTCATCTTGGCTTCGGTAAAGAGGACATGGCGATTGACACGGGGATCGTACTTTCGGAATTCAAGCTTCGTTTGTATCTTCCTTGGATTCTTCTTCTTAACGTAGAAGAAACCAGTTCCTGCCGCTGAAACCAGTCTTATGAAAATCGTAGCACTTTTTTTCTTGTCTCCCATTCTTTAATCTATAACAACCAGATATCAGTCAAAAGCATACAAACAAGAACCCAAGGCAACACACAAATCCACAAACAGAATAGCATACAATTATCAGAATTCATAATCAAATTATATGGGATGGCAATTGGCAGTTCAGTATTAGTTTCTTCATATGCTAATTCCTATATCCAACTGAAAACTAAGCTGCTGTTTGTGAATCTGGAATTCAAGGTCTGGAAATGGAAATCGTGTTCCTTCCAAACAAAATTCTGACACATTATGGCCCAATTCCAGTTCGAACTCACAATCATGAAATTGGGATTCTGAATGTACCTTCCAATTTAGTTGAAAACGCTCAATGATTCTCCTTTCTAACATGTAATTCAAGATGACTTCTGTAACAGATTATGCTCCAATTCTAATTACAATTAGCAATCACTGGATTGGGGATTTTGAATCTATCCTCAAACTCAAACAATTTAGTTAAAAACGTACAACGATTCTCCTTTCTAACAAGTTATCGAAGCATATAAACAATCAAACAGAAAGTTACCACACAAAAATGTAGAATCATTCAGAAAACGGAAAACGTTAAAGATAAAACAAATCCCCAACTAATAATTAACAGAGATTGGAATAAAAATCCATAAAACAAGAAAGAGATTTATCAAAACTATATTAAGTGGTGCATATCAGTTGCGATTTAGAGAGTTGACGTTACCGGCGGCGACGTCGGCGTTTAGTATCCGTCTCTGCCACCGTCTTTCGAACCCTAACAAAACCTTATGGTCTCTGAAACTGAATCTATAAGATTACTGTCAATGCAGTCCAAAATTATTAAATATTTTCATTTCTAGCCCTCTTCAATCGTTTATATCAGTTTTACTCCCCGTCTTCAATTTCCCAAATAATTTGCTAGCAAACATGGTTCGTTTCGGTAGGTGGCATTTGTGTTTTTAAAAGGTGTCGAAGTCTGATTTCACTTCTTATTTATAAGAGTTGGTTCTGAAGTATGAAATCTGGATCAGTAAGATTATTTGTTTTTACGTCTGAAATTTGAATCGGTCAAACTAATGTAAAAATATAAAAGATAAATAGTTTTTGCTAACAAATCTCTTCCAGCCCCCAAAATATGAACCATTTGATAGAAGACATATTAGGATTAAGAGGTATTAAGGGGTACGTTTACCACTTAAAATTTCATAGGACATTTAGGGCTTGTTTGTTTTTTGAAAAAAACCACTTAATGCCTCTTAAGTCTGAACTGATCAGACGTTTTTATTTTCAGACCGTTTGTTTTTTTTATATAAATAAGAGCTGAAAAGCTCTTAATTTGCTCTGAAAAAAAAAGTGATAACATAATCACTTAAATCCTCTTAATCGCTCCCTCCAGACTCTCCCCTCCATCCTCACCTCCAGATTTAGTCCTCCAAATCTATCTCGCAAGACATTCGATCTCCAACTCAATCACGACCCAGATCGATCCACATATTCTCGTAAAATCATGACCCAGATCGATCCAAATCTATCAGATCCAGAACTTGACTGATTCAGATTTCAGACGTAAAAACAAACAGTCTGACTGTTTCAGATTTCAGACTTCAGTACCACCTCTTAAAATTCAGAAGTGAAATCAGACTTCAGACTTCAGAACCTCTTAAAAAACAAACGCCACCTTAGAGTTTTTAAGCTCTTAATTCTAGAAATAAAACAAACGCTCTTAATATCCAAACGTTTGAACGAATCAGACTTCAGAGGTATTAAAGGTAATTTTGAAAAAACAAACAGGGATTTCATTTGTTTCCAGATCGAAGAAATTGTTTCTGAAAAAGAAATGTGTTATTTTTGTTGCTCAAATTAATCAATTTCCTGATCAAAGAAATCATTTCTGGAAAAATATGAGTTATTTTTATTGCTTAAATTAATCTGTTTGCTGATCAAATAAAATCATTTCTTGAAAAGAAATGTTTTGTTTTTATTGCTAAAATTAATCAGTTCCCTGGTTTGAAGAAGTCATTTTTGAAGAAGAAACGTGTTTTTATTGCTCAAAATTTCAATTATATCTCTTTAAAATTTTACAGTTACGTACAATCTCGCATGTTAAATACGAAAACGAATGAAATAAAGAATGTTCAAAAGGTTGCATACCACGTTCTATCTTTAAAAAAAGGCTATGAATCCATTTAAAAGAAGTTTAACTCATTAGTCAGACAACCCATAGGTTTATCCTTATAGGTAGGGATGCTCATGAGTTGGGTTGATCGGGTTGAAGACCTTTGAATAATCCAACCCAATGCTTGCGGTTTGAAAAATTTTAACCCAACTCAACCCAACCCAAAATGCAACCCAACCCAATCCAACCTGTACGGGTTGGTCGGGTTAATACTTTGGTACATTAAATATTCTTCAAACCTTGAATATGTTAATTTTCTACTCATAATTTCTTTTCATCATCAACCATTTGATACAACTTATCCATACTTCTTACGTACATCACATTCAGTTAATTTTCTCAATTTACATATATATGTTCACATTTACTGAACATATATACGAATGAGTTATATAGAGATGTTAATAGATTGAAAATATGTGTATATGAAAAGTGTACGTGATAGCGTAACTGTCTAATGTATATATTAATAAAAATTCAACAATCATATTAAATCCAAAAAATAAAAGGATATTGGGTGCATCGGGTTGGGTTAGGTTCAAATAATAGCAACCCAATATCTACGGTTTGAAAATTTTACAACTCAATTAGACATCAGGTTGAATTATTTGGCATTGAGTTGGGTTGGGTTGTTCGGGTTTTTGAGCACCCCTACTTATAGGTTATCAGTTCAAGTCTTTTTAGGGTCACTACAAGATTTTAACTTCAAAACCAATTAAATTAGTCGAGATATGCACAAGCTGACCCGTACATTCATCATCCCGTCTAACCCAAGGCTGCTTATGGCCCGATAGTTTGAGACCAATTACAAATTGGAAAAAGTACAATAAAAACCAATGAACTTTCTTGTTTGGAATGATTAAGTCCTTGAACTTTTTTTTGGAACAAATAAGTCCTT